AAACCACATTCAGACCCAGTAGTATGCTGGGCATGCCCCCCAGCACAGAGGCTGCAAATGTCTCCACCAAGACAAGCCTGGGTTTCCTGGGTGCGTAGATGAACCACTCTTCTCCTTCACCGTGTTCTCTTCAAATGTGGAGGTTGGACTAAACTCCATGGTCCTTCCAATCCTAAAGCTCCATCCGAGGCTTTATAAATTCTTGTTGGGACCTTCTAGAGAAGGACCAGTCTACAAGCTATGGAATGGAGAGGTCCCTTTAACATTCAGAATGAAGGCAGCTTGTCCAACCTTTTGGAATAAGCTAGCACTTGTTCAGAAGAGCAGTGCCGGAAGGATGCGTTTTTTTACTTGCCTTTCCTGCTTTGCATTTTGTTTTATTTTATTAATTAATACTTGGGAAAAATTTTTTTAGAATAGACAAGTACAAAGGATAATATATACCCACCAACTAAAGCGAACAGATGTTGTGTTCCATTCCGAGGACTCTGTCGTAAGTCAGTTCTGACGTAAGTTGAATACCTCATTTTTTTTGTAGTTTTCGTTATTATTGCCTTTACTATCAGTATATTTATAAATCTGATCTTTATTTGTCTTTGGGGGTTGGAAACATTACACATAAAGTTAAGGATATGATGACATCAGCAAATTACGCACTGCAACATTGTATATAGTACATATTACTAACAATAAGATGTGAAGAAAAACAAAAACAGATGGTCATAAGCGTGGTTTATCATAACTCGAATACGCCATAAGTCGGGGACTACCTGCATATTAAAGATAGAGATGAAGTCCCTCAAATCCCCTCCTCACTTCCACTCCTCCCCACCCCAGGGTCAACTACCACCATGAATTTGGTCTGTATTCCATCCTGGTTTTTATACTTTTACTATGTATGTATGCATGTATGTTTGTGTATCTATATACATATATATTCGTAAAGTACACAGAATATGGTTTATATGTTCTCAAACTTACATAAATAGTATTATTAGAGTATGACACTCTGGTGGCACCAACAGTTAAGCACTAGCCTGCTAACCGAAAGGTTGGTGGTTTGAACCCATCCAGCAGCTCCATAGGAGAAAGACCTGGCAATCTCCTTCCATAAAGATTAGTCTAGAAAACTCCATGGGACAGTTCTACCCTGTCATGTTGGGTCACTATGAGTCAAAAATGACTCGATAGCACCTAACAACAAAACAACCTTATTAGAATATATTCTACAGTTTGCTTTTTGAACTCAACATTGTATTAGATTTATTTATGCCGACACATATATCTAGTTCATTCCTTTTACCTGCTGTATAATATTCTACCACAGACTGTCCCATAGTTACTTACCCACCCTCCGACTGATGGCCATTTGCATTGTGCCCATTAGTGATCTAACCCAAACTCAGGTTTCAATCTAGTTGGGCCCCAGCAGAGACATCTAAGTAACTAATATTTCCCACCTGTGGGGTGCCCTGACCCCAAACTGCATAAGCGTCAAGTAAAATCGCGCCGAGTGTTATCATGACTCTGGGGTGGACTCCTGTGATGTCAACCCTGTCCTCACTTTGTCTCAAATCTCAACCCAACGTCAGCAACTTTCGGCATCTCTCCTTTGAGCCTGGCCTTCTGCAGCTGGAAAATGCTCATATATGGTGGTGTGACAAACCCAGAACAGAAATCAGGGACCCTGAGGAGTTCTGGTTGGATTCCTAGTGGGTGAGTGAGTACACAGAAGGCCTTCCCCCAGTCCCTGGGGCTCTGACCCAAGGGGACCGTCTTTGGAGGCAGACGCGTCTGGTCTGCTGCAGAGAGCTGCGCCTCTCCGTTTTGAGTGGAGGCTATTTTTATCTCAAGGGCGGTCTTGGTCAGGACCCTGGATGGTTGCCAGGGGTCAGAGATGGGAACTGGAGCATTCCCAGAGCTCGCTGGCTCACCCCTCAGCCTCTGATGCCAACTTCTCTGCTTGCTGCCCTCTGCTTCCTGGGATGCCCAACTCAGCTCGCAGGCCTTCCCCTATGGTTGATTTTGTCCAGTCAGGTGTTAGTTAATCTGGCCTTCCCTGCCTCGCTCTACCTTTAGCCCCCCAGTACACCCTCCTTTGTCTGCCATTTTGCCAACTCGGCTGATGATAACCTGGTTATTTCTAATGTGGGCCAAAACCTGGGGAGATGTTTTTCCCCAGAGGCTTGGGGGTTCCCAAAGGATAAGATAAGCAGCATCGATCCATGGCTGACATTCTACCCTTCCTCTGGCCCCTGCTCGCCACACCGTCTCCAGTCAGCCCTACCCTTCTGTGTGGTGGCTGTGGGTTTTCTCGTCCACCTCCCCCACTGAACTGTGATCTGCTAGAGACCTGGGATGCTGTCCTTTTCATCTTTGCACCCCTAGACCCTATCTCAGGATCCAGCACACACACACACACACACAACCTAGTTGCTGTCGAGTTATCACTGACTCATGACGATCCCATGTCTGTCAGAGTAGAACTGTGCTCCATAGGGTTTTTGATGGCTGATTTTTCAGAAGTAGATCACCACGCCTTTCTTCCACGGCACTGCTGGGTGGACTCTAACCGCCAATCTTTCAGTTAGCAGCCAAGCACACCAACCGTTTGCACCACCCAGGGACTCCCTAGCACAAAATAGGTTCTCAGTGTAGGTGATAGGTGACTGACTCTCTCTTGGGAATAAAGAGCAATGCTTCATCAGCAGTAGCGATGGAGTAAATGGACACATCATTTCAGGCCTCCTTGTCTTCTTCTGTGACCAAGAGCATGTATTTTTTCAGATGATAAGCCAGGAGGAGAATTATGGTTGTCAGCCCTTCAGTGGGGGTGGGACAGTTACCCTCCAGGGAGATAGAAGCCAAGGCAGCTAGCTGGGAAAACGACGACCTTCAGAGTCATCAGACCTGGTTTCGAGTCTCAGCACCTCCACTTACTAGTAGGGCAGCCTTGTGCTCACCTTGACACCACTCTAAGCCTCAGCTTCCTCATCTGTAAAATGGAGATGATAAAGACTGACCTTCTGGGTTGTCGTGAGGATTGGAAATGACGTAAATGGAGTGACTGGCCCGTGAAGGCACTCAGGCAGGGGTTTCTGGAGAAATCCAATGCCCAGCAGAAATCCACCTAGTAAATTCTGACCTTAAGGAAATTGTTGGTTGATAAGTGACTAACAGCCTCTCCTGAAATGCATGGCAGGGAAGCAAGGTTATTAAGAGGCTTTCTTTTTTTTTTTTGTGAAGAGACCTGTACCTAGAAGGCAGGGGAAGGCCTGCTGCGATAAAAGTGAGGGGGCTTTCTTTACTGCAGAATGTGCGGTGTTTTAATAAGGCAAGGGCACCTGAGTCTCTCCAGGGGGACTGTCTGCAGCCCTTCCCCACTAATGTGACCTTGGAGCTGTGTCCTACTGTCCCAAAGCCCCAGCATGTCTCATGGTGGTGTGTGGAGCCCAAGGTTTTTCCTGCCCTCCACCCACCTGGAGAGGCTGCTCAGCAAATAGCAGCAGGACGGGCCTCACACCCGGGCCCGGAGGGACACCCCCGGGCGGACAAGGAGGAGATCCTCATGCTGCACAATAAGCACGGGGCCAGGTGTATTCTGCGACCTCCAACATGGAGCACATGGTGAGCCCTGGCCTCAGAGTTAGAGCTCTGGAACACTCTTCCGTAAGGTCTGGGCGTGCTGACTGCCATCTTCTTTCTGTCCCATGGCACTGCTGTTGGGTTCATCAACCAAAGGTGATACGGCCAGACTCTGGCAGATTAACTTACCTAATACCTGACTAGACATGATCAACTACAGGTCACCATCCTGAGGCAGGCGTTGGTACTTGTTACCCCTGTGAGCCACCAAAGGTTCACACCCAGCAGTGTCTGTAATGGGCTTATTGCTGGACAGAAGCTGGCTGAGCGACGGCCACAGGCTTGGGTGGTCTGTGGGTTTGCTCAGCAGGGACAGAGGTGAGAGGGGGGCATACAGGCAGCCCTTGGTGTTTCATCCCTCTGTCTACTGTTCCTTTCTCCAAGAATCAAATCAGTGAGTGAAGGTTGCCCGGCAGAGTACACGGCTGGGTTCTCATCTGGGTTCTGGGTAAAGGTGGTGTTGTTGCTAGCTGCCATCGAGTCAGCCCCAACTCATGGTGAACCCGTGTACAATGGAGCGAAGCACTGCCTGTACTGCACCACCCCTGTAATAGCTTGTGGGCCAGACCTATGTGATCCAGGGGGTTTTCTTTGGCTGATTTTCATAAGTAGATTGCCAGGCCTTTCTTCCTAGTCTTAGCCTGAAGGTCTGCTGAAACCTGTTTAGCATCATAGCAACATGCAATCCTCCACAGACAGACGGGTGGTGGCCGTGCATGAGGTACGTCGGCTGGGAATCAAACCCAGGTCTCCTGCATGGAAGGTGGGAATTCTATCACTGAACCACCATGGCCTCCACAACTGTGTTGTAGTGTGTGACAAACCTGTGGGAGATGCTGGTGGAAGGGCCAGGGGAAGAGGAACCATGCCTTATGCAATGATGAAAGACATGCCTGTCAACCACTTTTTGTAAGTTGAGTCTTACTTCACAGGAACCGGAAAGTTTGCTGTTAATGTTGGTTCATGACAAACACTTCTTGGTGTGAAGTGACTTTATCAGTCCCTTTTGGGGCATGAGACAGAACTTAATTCATGCTGCGGTCACACCTAAGTTATGAATGAGTAGAAGTGCTGACTCAAAATTAGAAAATATGGATACCAGAGAACTTGAGTCTGGGTAAAACTATGCTAGGATGTCCTATTTAGAGTTGGGCAGCTTGCCTTCTGGAAACTCTTTGCTGGAGTCCCAGCTCCACCACTTCCTGCCTGTATTTGGATGATACTTAGCTTCTGTGAACCTGTTTCCACATCTATAAAGTGGGTAGAATAATGCCTGCTTCCTTTGCTACTCCAGCCAACGCTGTAGCTTGTTTAATACTAACTAGCCTTCTTCCAACACCCTCTCTTTCTTTCAGAGCTCTCAAGCACCCAGCTCTGCCCTAGAATCCCAGGCTGCCCTGTCACCCCAGTTCCTGCTGTCGGTGTGGAGCCATGAGTAGTGTCCTGAATGGTATTATCCCTTTGGGGCTGGTGTTGCTGCTGTATGGAGCCCAAGGCTTCTTCCTGCCCAATGCCACACACCTGGAGAGGCTGCTCAGCAAATACCAGCAGGACGGGCCTCACTCTCGAGCCCGGAGGGCCATCCCCAGGGTGGACAAGGAGGAGATCCTCATGCTGCACAACAAACTGCGGGGTCAGGTGTACCCTACAGCCTCCAACATGGAGTACATGGTGAGCCCTGACCTTAGTCACAAAAGGGTGGGAGACCCTGGCCGCTGTGTTGTTATGTCCCCAGTCTGGGCGAGTGGCAAGAGAGGGTTCCCTGGCTCTGTTCTGGACACTCTGCCAAGACTATACTCGGAGGCTTACCATCTGGCTCCTTCATGTTACGTCTCTGTAGCTCAACGCAAAAATACAGCCTTGACGCTCTTCCGGCCAGGCCCCTCAGGCAGAGTGGGAAAGGGCGGGCTTTGTAGAATCCAGTTCTGGCTCTGCCTCCCTCTAGCTTGTAACCTGGGCATCTCCTTAACCGTCTGAGAATCCCTACCTGAACCTACCTGCAGTAATGGGAGTCCCTGAGTGGTACAAATGGTTAACATGCTTGGCTGCTAACCAAAAGGTTGGCAGTTTGAGTCTACCCAAAGGCACCTTGGAAGAAAGGCCTGGTGATCTATTTTGGAAAAATCAGTCATTGAAAACCCTATGGAGCATAGTTCTACTCTGAAACACGTGGGGTCGCTATAAGTCAGAATTGACTCCATGGCAACTGTTTTTTGTTTTTTTTTTTTACCATGTGCAGGGCATGGTGCTGATGTTGCAGCGATGAGCAAAAGTAGCCGATCCCTGTGCACCGAGTCACGTGGGCTCTCAGGATGAGAAGAGGGTGGGAGATGTGAGGTGGGGTGGTACTGGAAGGCCTAGCCACAGCCTTACCACTCCCCAAAGTGCAGGGAGGGAGAGAGCCAGCGGACATGGGGATTCTTGTGTCAGTGTTCTGTTGCCGATCAGGCACCTCGGAGTCCTTTGCCAACCTAGTCACTTACCACTTGCTAATTTAGGAGCACAACCATGGTGTGCACATGGCTGAAGAAGCTGAAGATACACCTACAGGTTCATCTGGGGCCCAGACTTGGGGGTATTGCTGCGTTTTGGTTCTTCTGCCTCTCCACCCCTGGTCCTGACCTGGTGCTTTCTCCTCCCCCTGCAGACCTGGGATGAGGAGCTAGAGAAGTCAGCGGCGGCCTGGGCCGAGGGATGCATCTGGGAGCACGGACCTACCAGCCTGCTGGTGTCCATCGGCCAGAACTTGGCTGTCCACTGGGGCAGGTAAGAGCCACAGGTGCCCCCTCCTGCTGCTGAGGTGCCCCCACTGAGCACCTGCTGTGTGCCTGGCTTGGTGCTGCCTGCCTGTTATTGCGTTAGTCCCTGTGCTCACCTGCTAAGAGGGACACCACCCATCTTAGTCTCCTGGGGCTGCCATGATAAAATACCAACAGTGAGTGGCTTCCAAGAACAGAATTGATTGCATCACGGTTCTGGAGGCCAGAAATCCAAATGCAGGGCGTCAGCAGGGCCGTGCTCTCTCTGTTGGCTCTTGGGGAAGGCCCTTCTTTGTCCCATTCAGTTTCTGTAGCCCTAGGCGTTTCTTGCTTGTTGTTCCTTAGCTTGTAGACAGACCCTCACTGTGTGTCTTCCCTTTTAACGAGACAACACTCAGAAGGAATCCGGACCTACCCTACCTCAGTGTGACCTCCTTTGACTCAATGATAACCAAAGAAAAACCCCATTTCCCCTAAACAAGGTCAAGTTCACAGGTACATGGGCTGAGACTTCAACATATCATTTTGGGGGACACCATTCAGTCCATAATACCACCCATCCCATTGACATGTGGGGAAACTGAGGCTCAGAGACTTTGAAGGACTGGCCCAGGAACACACGAGTCACCGGCAGAACAGGGATTTGAGCCTGGTCACCTGACTCCAGGAACTGATTACCGGGTCAGGGGCTTATAGAGCTTGGGTTTTCCATTCCGTCTCCTGTAGAGAGTTCTTGAGCCCCAGTGGCTGCTGCCAGGAAGGACGTGGTTGGGTCAGCTGGGAAAATGAGAACGTTTGCTCTTCTAGCTGTAGATCATTGCTGGCTTCTCTGCCCCCTGCACATCTGGTTCCCCTCACCTTACCTCCTTACCCAGCCAGATGGGGGCTTGCTAACTCCTCTGAGCTTCCGAGGCTTCCTGGAGTGGCGGCTCCCTTGCCCCTTACCCATAGGATGCACTTGACCTTGACCATTATCTGTTAAATGTTGCCACTGACCCTTCCCAAGGTAAACTTGGACTAGTCTTCTGGACAGAGTCCCTAGGTGGTGCAAACAGTTAACACGTTCAGCTGCTAACTGAAAGCTGGGAAGTTTGAGTTCACCCAGAGGCACTGCAGAAGAAAGGCCTGGCAATCTACTTCTCAAAAATCAGCCATTGAAAACTCTATGGAGCGCGGTTCTACGCTGACACTCATGAGGTTACCATGAGTTGAAATCAACTCAACCGCAACTGATTTAGTCTTTTGGATGTACCCAGGGGCTGCGGGTTGCTTTCATTTGAAGACTCGAAGAAAAGTCTTTGGACAACAGCCAGGATAACGACTTAATGGCCAGTAAAGACTCACTGACCAACCAGTGCAGTGCTGAGGACCAGCATCCCTGAGTCCTCAGACCCAGGCTCACAGGATCACAGTGCTGCCGGTGTTTTGCCCCAGGCAGCGAAAAACTGGACTGGATTTCAAGTATACTCTCAAGACCTAGGTTAGGGTTGTGCTTTGACTTCAAACCCAGATATTTCCTAGCCTTTGGAGCTCTGGAGTTTCATTGGCCACAAACAGCTATACTTTCCTTTGTTGCTGGGTGCCATTGAATCAATAACAACGATTACAACTTATAGCGAACCCATGTGACAGAGTAGAACTGCCCCATAGGGTTTCCTAGGCTGTAATCTTTACGGAAGCAGATCACCAAGTCTTTCTCCTGCGGCGCCTCTGAGTGAATTTAAACTGCAAATCTTTTGATTAGCAGCCAAGCACTTAACCATTGTGCCATCCAGGACAAAACCAGGGCAGGGGTTATGATGGACCTAAGTGGTAAGACTTTGTGGAAGCAAATCAACATGGTGTTTTTTCTCTGGTGAATGTTGCCTGTTATAAAAACAGTCTTGCTATAACATTAAAAAAAAAAAAGAAAGTCTAAAGGAAAAAAATCCATAATTCCACTATTCAGCTTCAGTTCTTTTCCTTTTTTTGGGTTTCTTTGTAGCATTTGGCTGTACACAGACATATTTTTACATAGCTGTAGTGTAGCCTGGCAACTTTTAATTCTTTTTTCTTTCCTTCTCATACAATATCAAACAATTTTTCTATTACATAGTTGTCATGATTATCATTTTATAAAGGCTGCCAAAATTTAGCCATTCCACACTTGTAGCTTTTTTTTTTTCCTCATTGAAATTATTTCATCAGGATAATTTCTGAAGAGTAAAATTAATGGGCCGGAGAGTACAAGATTTTTCTTCCTCATGAAGTATATTGGCATCCCTGGGTGGTACAGACGGTACTGAAAGGGTGGAGGTTCAAGACCACCCAGAGTTTCCTCAGAAGGAAGGTCTGGTGACCTACTTCTGAAAAATCAGCCACTGAGCATAGTTCTACTCTGATACACATGGGGTCGGTTTGATGTATATTGTTAACTTTCTTTCCTAATGAGCTCCACATTTTGTGCTGCTCCGGTGGCATCTGAGTGCCCAGCACCAGCACTGGGTAAATACTTGACCTCAAGTCCATGGGAAGTGGACTTGGTGGTGAGTTTCATTTTGCATCGCAGCTCCAAGCTGTGTGCATTTCCTTCCCCACGCTGGCCCCAGAAAGAGACGGTGCTCCCTGGGACACGTCACTGACCACCACCGTCTGCCCTGGGTCCAAACAGTAACTGTTACAAGACCTCTAACTGCCTTGCTGACCACATCTCCCTTCATTGTGGTCACATACCCCTCACGTGTTCTCTCTTTATTGAAACCACTTTGTTTGCACTTGCTGGTTCCAGCAGCACAACCCTGGATTTGCATCCAGTTTATTTTCTTTCCTGTCATTAAAAAAAAAAAAGCTGCAAATAGTGCCAACTTGGCAGAAGGGGCCGGAGCAAGGTGGCAGTCACTGCTAAGCGATAACCTCTCTGAGGGAGGGAGAAGAATGTGCTGGGGGCTGCCCCAAGGAGTTTTCCACAGAGCCGCCCAGGCCTCCTCACTTGGGGGGCTGAGGGAGGGCTCCAGATGATAAAATCCTAATAGGAAGCTTTTTTTTTTGGAATTTTTTTTTTTCCCGTACAAAAATTTATACATACATTGTTATGTGACTCTGATTGCTTTCCCCACACTGTGACAGCACACTCCTCCTTTTCACCCCTGGAATGAGTTTTCTGCTTGGCACCTGGGTTCTTGGTCCCCCGAGCAGCCTGGGAACGAAGCCAGTTATCACCATATAGAAATGTGAGGCTACACCCCTCTTTGGTGAGGGGGCAGACACCCCTCTGCCTTGTCCTCCACAGAAGCTGTTTCCCAATTTTTCAAACTCTCCCTGACTTGCTCGGTGTCCCCTGTTCAGTTAGTCACTTAACAGTTGCTCTAAGTCAACTTTAAATGCACTCCCATCTTAAATCAAGTTTTGTCCTAACCAAATAATATCTCTGATATATGGGGTTAATGGGCTTCATATAATTTTCCAAATGTACATGAAAAGAAATAATTATCAAAATAAAAAAATACCGGGGCCAGGTGAGTTTCCTGCACACAAGTGACGTATGGGCCACTGGGAGAAACTGTGGACCCAGAGTAACTCGATGGATGCTTGATGATGTCCTCACCATTTCTGGCGTTAAGCACCTTGAAGGGGTGCCTGGTGGAATCTGGGGCTACCCCCACCCCCCGGTAGCAGCCCCACCCCAGGGTGGTGATGCTCCAAGCAGTGGTCTGCACTCATTGTACGTGCAGTGGCCGGCACACAGCAGGCTGATTCTGGTTCTGCCCCACAGGTACCGCTCTCCGGGGTTCCACGTGCAGTCCTGGTATGACGAGGTGAAGGACTACACCTACCCCTACCCCCACGAGTGCAACCCCTGGTGTCCCGAGAGGTGTTCTGGGGCCATGTGCACCCACTACACTCAGGTAACTTACACTCAGGGGATGGGCTGCAGCCAGTGCCTCAAACCCAGTCATTCACCTCCCTGCGAGATCGTTGCTGAATGCGTGGAACTCTGGGCTTCTGTTCTCATAATTCGTTTTCTTGCAGTTGGTGCTGCTGGAAGCACAGCCCCTCCCCCTTGCTCTCCTCATCTCCTCCCTGTGCCCTCATATCATGAGTTGCCCCTAGGAAGAGCCTACTGTGTGCCAAGTAGTGTGTCGAGGTGTCAGAGTCATGGTCTTAGCATATCCCATTCACAACTACCGTTTAAGCCAGCATTGCTATCCACCACTTTCGGGATAAGGGGATTGAGGTCCGGAGAAGTGAAGTAAGGAACAAAAGCCCCCCATCCAATAGAGGCGGAGCGGGATTCCAGCCCAGGCATGACTGATGGTGCTCTTAGAGGTGACACCCCTTTCCTCCTCCTGGGTCTCTTTCCCAGAATGCTTACCTGTTTGCTCACAAAGAGGTTGACATGGCACAAGTTGATATTGTTAGGTTAGTATTACAGAGTCTTTGGAGTTGGGAGAATCCTCAGAGATTTTCAAGTACAACTTCCTCATTTTTCAGCTCAGAGGGGGAAGTGACTTGTCCCACGTAACACAGCGAGTTAGCAGTGAAACCAGGTCTGGAAGGAGCTCTCTTGGTTCCTAGTCCAATACTAATACCCACCTGGGGCATGTGCATGTAATCAGAAGCAACTCTGAAAGAACAAGTGATTTTAATCCCAACAGAATGGGCTGGTAATGGTAGAACTTCTGGCAGTGGCAGGCGGTGGACGATGTTGCAGAGAAGAGAAGCAGAGGGCATCCTGTTCAACCTATGCAAGGGCATGCTCCTTCAATGCTAGCACCTTATAGAGTGAGGCCAGATTATGCCACCCTGGCGTGTCTTGCCCCTCCAGCTCTGACATATGGTGTTGTCTTTTCAGATAGTCTGGGCCACCACCAATAAGGTTGGCTGTGCTGTGCACACCTGCCAGAGGATGAACGTCTGGGGAGAAATGTGGGAGAATGCAGTCTACCTCGTCTGCAACTACTCTCCAAAGTAAGAACAAGTTCAAATGGGTGTATGGGTTGGGGTGCTTTTCCTGCCAGAGTACCCAACTAAGACTGGCTTAAACAGTGAAGTCTCTTCATTATCTCACATAACAAGGAGTCTAGAGGTTGGTGCTCCTGGGTTAGCTTAATAGCTCAGCAGTGTCAACAAGGGCTCAGGCTCTATCTTCCTGTGTACTGTACAATCCTCTCCTCATGGGCCTAAGATGGCTGCAGAGCTTCGGACACTACGTCATCCCAAGCAGAAGATAAGGAGAATGGTAGAAGGCCTTTCTCATCCCCAGCACAGTTTCCCCTTATGTCATTGGCCAGAACTAGACCAACCATGGACAAAGGGAGATTGCCCCAAATGGATTCACAAGTCATCCTCTGGGGCCACCTGAACGAAGTCAGAAGCAGTAACAGTTGTTGGCTGGGCACCCAGTGGGTCTACCTAGCAGTTGTTTTTTTTTTTTTTTCCTCTGAAGACACTCAGCAGATAGCATCTTAGAAAAGAAGTATTCATGCTGGACTTTGGGCTTGCATCTCTCTATTTCCCTTCATAGCAGGAAACACATATCATAGCCCTTCTTCCTCCTTACATCATCCTTGTATTATCACTATATCCTTCATTGCCGCACTCGCTCACTCGACTGCACTTCGGACAAATATTCTCACAGGACTGCTGACCCACTTTGCAGCCTGCGGTTTGCAGGGCTGCCTGCTGAGGCAGCTGCCACCCTGTACTGTGGCTTGCACACAATGGGCCCTCCCAGCATACTTGCTCAGGGACCAGATGGAATGGCGGTGACCTCACTTATGTGGTTTGGGTCAGAAGTGACTGTGAGAAGATGGGATGAAGGGGGACTCGCTGAGGTTGGGAGGGAGACAGAGGCTCTCCAAACACTTTCTGGCTTGTCTGTGACACAGATAAGGATGGGGATTATGTCACTGCTGGGGAGGGACCAAACCCAGACCCCACGGAAGAGCACTAAACTGGCCAATGATGATGGACTTCCTGGCAGGTTGGATGAGGAGTGATTTGATTTGATTCTTTATATTAAAATATACACTGGAAGGTCCTAGCATCAGAAATAAAATTCTTCCTTTCTTTAGCCCCCATCCCTTTTCTTAGAAAGGAATAATTTACATAAGTAAAATACATTACTTTTAAATGTACAGCTCAAAAATTTTCACGTGTATGTATGTACCTGTATAACTACCTCGTGGACCAAGATAGAGAATATTTCCAGCACCCCAGAAGGTTCCCTTGTACCCCCCAAAGTGACCAGTGTCCCACCGTCCCTCCCCATCCATCAGTCTGCCTGGTTTGAACTTCGTATACGCCATTTTGTGCCCAACCTCTTTCACCCAACATCATGTCTGTGAGATTCACCCATGCTGTTGTGTGTGGTGGTGGTGCTTCCCTTTTCATTTCTGTGAAGCATTGTACGCTGTCCACAGACACTCGTACTTCCTAAAGAGGAAGCGTTTGGGCCCCTGGGCTGTGCAGGACGCCATCCCAGGCATGGAGTAGTGGCGGAGGGTGAACTTGGGAATGGGTGCCCTCCTCTTGGTGGGGGTGTTGTCACATCTGGTGACTGCATTGAGGGGGTACAGTGATAGCACTGACTTCCCGCGGCTGCTGGAAGATCAAGAGGTCGTCCATCTACAGGACATTGGCCTAAGGCCTGGCACACAGCCAACACTCAACAAGTGCCAGCTACCAGGATTATCGTCCCAGGGGGTTGGAGGTGTGATTTGTCTTTGAGAAACTAAGGAACCCTAAAGATGAGGGAGGAGTACCTGAGTGGTGCAAACGATTAAGCGTGCAGCTACTAACTGAAAGGTTGACCGTTCAAACCCAGCCAGAGGCACCTCGGAAGACAGGCCTGGTGATCTACTTGTGAAAGGTCACAGCCTTAAAAACCCCATGAAGCAGTTCTACTCTGCACGCCTGGGGTTGCCATGAGTCAGAGCTGACTTGATGGCAGCTGGTTAGGGTTTTAGATATGAGGGAGAATTGGACTGGGGAAGAGGGACAAACACATTTTGGGGCCAAAATCATCCGAAGACACCTACTGAACTCTGGGTCCCCCCTACCCATGACTTCCCTCTGGTAAATTGTGCAGAGGCCCCCGGGAATCCCAGCAGCCAGTGGAGCTTGTTGGTTTGGGTGGGTTGTGTTATGTGGCATGTTGTCAAACATTATGATTTTGCCATCCACGATGTGGGAAAGTAAAATCGCTGGGCTTGAAGAAGTGGTGTGCATAGTTTAAGAGGCCCAGGGGGGCAAGGAGGGAAAGGGCTCCTCCTCTCCCCCAGCTCGGACTGCCGACCCCCCTCCCGGCCCACCATCCCCAGGCCTGATGCCCACACGGCCCTGGGTGATGTCACTCTCCATTTCTGGCTGGAGGAGGTCCTGGGCCCACATACGATGATGGCCGTGTGTTGAACAGAGAACGTGCCTTTGTGGTTTGTCTCCAGCCAGCACGAGCAGGCCTCCCCTGCCTCTAGGCCCTCCCTGGAAAGCTCTCGAGAAGATCACTGGACAAGTTTGTTTATTTATCAAACACCATCTAGCCTTTACCGTGTGCCAGACCCTGGGCTAGGGGCTTCCACGTGGTCACCCACTCAGTCCTCACAGCAGCCCTGCAAGGCTGGCACTATCACTGCCCTCATTGTACAGAGAGGACATGGGGCTCAGGGTGGTGGGATGTAGCCATAGTCACTTCGCCAGCAGGGCTGGGGGTCAACTCTTTGCAGCACGGCCACGAAGAGGCTCTGGCCTTGCCTGGCAGAGGTGCCCAGTACCTCTTTACTGAATGAACAGAGGGATGAGTGGACGACTGTGAAGGGAATTCCTAGAACGAATCAGAGAGACTGGTCCCAGTCAGTCATGCACCCAGCTTCTGAAGGCCCAGGTGATGCAGGAGACGGGTGGGAATTCTGCCAGGCCAGCCACTGGGCCCCCTGAGAAATCCAGAGGGGAGCAGGTGGCACTGCTGTGCCATACACAGTGACCTTAGCCCCTACCCCTAGAGAAGAGTGGTCAAAGGCTCTGAACCCCATGACCTGGGTTTGAATCCCAGCCCCTCTATGCACTGGTTGTGTGACCTTGAACAAGTCGCTTACCGTCTCTGTGCCTCAATGTCCTCCCCCACCAAAGGAGGGAATCCCAGCACTTCCCACCACCCCAGAATGAGGGAGGGAGCAGGTGGACCTGGTGTGTGGTGAGCACATACAGAAAATGCTGCAGCTCTCGTTGCTCCCCAGCTGAGCTGCCACCGGGACGCCCCTACAGCACGCAGACTCCACTCATTGGAGAAATGGCTTAAATGAGGGATCCTGTCTGCTTCAGTGCAAAGGTGCTGGGGCTCTGAGGTGGGGGTGGGGCTCACCATATTAAGAGTTATGGGTGCAGAGTGCCATTGGCCAATGTGGAGCTGGTGGTGTACATGCTAACACAGGACAGAAGTGCCAGGTGGAGGCGCCTGTGGTTTACTAGAATCTGCTAGAATTCTCCAGATGTTGTGCACACAGGGGGTCTGGGCAGCTGCCCTTCCCCCTCACACAGCCCACGCCTTCTTCCTTCCTGACGGGGAGTGGGCTGGGAAGAGATCTGGGCCAGGCGTCGACGTGCGGGCCACACCTGACCATGTCTTTGGTCTGTCTCTAGGGGAAACTGGATTGGAGAAGCCCCTTACAAAAGCGGCCGGCCCTGCTCAGAGTGTCCCCCCAGCTACGGAGGCAGCTGCAAGAACAACCTGTGCTACCGAGGTAGGGAATGGCTTCGAAAATGATTGCAGCGGATTTTCCCTCCAGTCTCTGAGTTATCAAATGATGTCACATAAAATAAGAAATTCTGACAAAAAAGTCAAAATCGCTGAGATCTGAAGGAGAAGGAAGAAGTAGCCAAGTATTGAGAGCAGGGAAAGGCATTTCCGGCAGGGGGAACAGCATGTGCAAAGGCCTCAAGGCATGAGGCTGCATGGTTACGAGGGTGGAAAATAGAAAGCACTGCACAGATGTGCAGATTTCTTTGTACAGACCCCACCTCTGGGACCTCCTGAGGGCACCTGCCATGCAGTCGGGGTGTAATGTTTCTTAAGTGGGATTTCCACCACTCTCCCACTTACGGTCTGGCAACGCCTCTTCCTTATCTTTGAGACGGGGCTCCACACACCGTCTTTGATGAAATCACCCTGGATGTCCCCCTGTGATTCCTGGATTCGAGAGACAAACATGGGCTTAGAGTCTGGTCCACTGACTTTAAGAATTTTCCAGCAGTGGGACCCTGGACAAGTCACTTCATCTCTCCGAGTCTCAGTCTTCCCATCTGAAAATGGAGGTCACAATGCCCACCCGGGGTCAGTGGGAGGCTAAACTGAAGAATGGGGGTTGAGATTGACCTTCGATATGTGTTAGGGCCCTTCCCAGTATTCCCACTCAGGCACATCCTCGTAACTGCTATGGGGCCACCCTGAGGGGTTAGATCCTTGTCAGATCCTGGGTGCTGACCCAGACACAGGCAAGGGGCAATGCCCTTCAGGGCTTCTCCTGGGGTAACCCGGGGCTCTGTGTTCAAACCTAATCACATCACAAGGCAGTGTTGAAAGCACATCAGCACCTTGTTAAGGGGGAGGCTCCAGGGTGCACCAGCCAGACATCCTGGTTGAGGGCGAGGGTTCAGAGCAGACAGAGGGGTTGTCTCTGCCGCTTACTGCTGTGTGTGCTCAGACACACTCCCTGCCCTCTCTGAGCCTCAGTTTCCCCATCTGTAGCAGTGATCACAGTAGTCCTCACCATGGAAGGCGAGTGCAAAGCCCCACACAGAGCTCTATGCACGTGGCTTGTTAGCTTCTGGCAGAAACCAGAAGCAGGGGGTACTGCTGCGCTTACCACCCTGCAAGCGGGAGCCCCTCACCTGGTGGGGAGCACCATCCACCTCCCAGCCGGGAGGGCCCTTGTCCATCTAACAGATGGTGGCTTCTCCTTGGAAACCCAGCTCAGGTGTCACACTTCTTCCAGAGAGCCTTCCCTGACTTACACACAGAGCACCTGCCTCTGTGTCTTCCTACACCCAGCACTGCCCTTGAGCCATGATCACCCCAGTCTACTCCAGGGCCTCTGGGCCTGCAGCCAGTGTGCTGTGCCCACTGTCTGAATAAATACACTCCAATATCTGCAGAGGGTCCTCTGCAAAGCATCTGTGCACACAGAGGTGCCTTAGCTGCCAATTTGCTGGCCCAGTGAAGCCTTATGCACTAATTTCTTTATTTTTGGTGGAAAATGCCCAACTTCACTTGGCCGACTTCCTACTTTCTTAGCTAAGCATGCAGAAAGTCTCCTCAAAAGCGGTTTATCAGCATAAACTCCTTCATAGCATTTACTGAGGGTGCCTGATGAGGCTGTGGCCTCTAATGAAGATGGAGCAGGGACAGGAGTAGAAGAAAAGAGAAGTTTCTTTCCCTCTAGCCCTTCCCTGTGTGGCAGTAAAGAGCACAGGCTTTCCAGCTGTAGAGCTTGGGCAAATCGCTTAGCCTCTCAAGGCTCAGTTTCCCCATCTGTGAAATGGGGGCCAATCATGCCTCCTAGCTTGTTGAGAGGGTTACGTGACAGAATACTGGGGAAGGGCTGAGCTGGCGTGTAAGCATTTGGTCTGTACTCAGTAAATGCTGGCTATGAGCTTTGTCACCATTTATAGAATCAAGTGGGGATCTATTTGGTGTTGTTAGTTGCCATTGTGTTGACTCTGACTCATGGCGACCTTACGTACAACAGAATAAAACGTGCCATCTTTGTGATCGTTGGTACACTTGAGCCCATTGTTGCGGCCACTGTATATTTTGACTGCCTTCCAACCTAGGGTGCTCATCTTCCAGCACTATATCAGATAGTATTCTGTTGTGGTCCATAGGGTTCTCACTGGCTAATTTTTGGAAGTAGATCGCCAGGCCTTTCTTCCTTGTCTGTCTTAGTCTGGAAGCTGCTCTGAAACCTCTCCAACATGGGTGACCCTGCTGCCATTTGAAATACTGGTGGCATAGCTTCCAGTATCACAGCAACATGCAAGCCACCATAGTACAATGAACTGACAGATGGGTGGTGGAATCTACAGGAAGGTGTAAACAATGCCACGTGCCCTGAGACCCCTCGTCCAGAGCTGGACGGCGCAGAGAGAGTAACCTGGCAATGAACTCAGGCACAGAATTTCCCCAGGCCACAATGACCCACACAAGAGTTCTTAACTCAGACACACTCAAACATAGGCTGTCCGCGGGGTAAGCATTTTGCTTTCCATGTGTGTGGCTCTGGACAGACACTGTCCGCCCATCTCCTAAATAGTGAGCTCTCAAGTGATTTAGACTGCTTTAGCAAACTGTGTCAGGCTAAATAAAACTGCGATTATGAGGTATAAAAATCGTAAGGGCAATGGAAGAAACCCAACTTCTTCCAGAGACAGTTCCTCTGTCAGTGACGAGCAAACCTGAATAGACACATTCAAAGCAGAGTGGATGAGAGACGACAAATGTGTGCCAGGCAGCGTCTGTAAGCCCAGTGTCTTCTAAAGGTTTCGCCTATAGCTTTTGGCTGTAAATGGTACTTTCAGAGTTCCCTTCTTGAATGTCCTTCAACTTTGTCACTGGGTATATAATTTTTCTTTAGGTGACAGAACTCTTTCAGGGTTTTTGCTTATTCAGCCATTCAGTGAATTTTGTTGAGCAGCTACTATGTGCTGGGTGTATAATGGGGTGCGAAGCAGGCCTGGCTCCTGGTCTCATGGAGTTGATAGGTGGTTGGAGAGGCAGAGAGGAGACCTGATGGCGCAGTGGTTAAGCGCTCAGCTGCTAAGCCAAAGGTCAGCAGTTTGAACCCACCAGCCGCTCCACAGAAGAAAGATGTGACAGTCTGCTTCCGTAAAGATTACAGCCTAGGAAACCCTGTGGTGCAGTTCTACTCTGTCCTGTAGGGTTGCTGTGAGTCAGAATCAACTTGACAGCAAAGAGTTTGGTTTGGGAGAGGCAGATGTTGGTGAAACCGTGACTGTGAGTATGCTACCGAGGTGCAGTGCGTGGTGATACAGGAACACGTGCACGATTGGAACGGGGGCTGAGTGCTGTCTCTCACCCTGGACTGAGAGCCTGTCAGTCTCCTCATGGTCTGGCTGGGCCAGGGTCAGCCTGGGGGGTGTGTCTGCGCGGTAGTGGCTGAGCCTCCTGGGGCTATGTAACAAATTACTGCAAACTATTGTCTCCTGGCTCTGGAGGCCAGCAGTCCAAATCAGCGTGTCAGCAGGACCATGCTCTCTGTGAAGGCTTTAGGGGAGGATCCTTCCTTGTCTCTCCCAGCTTCCGGTAGCCCCAGTCATTCCTTGGCATGGAGATGCATCTTCACCCAGCTGTCCTTCCTCTGCCTGTCTCTCTGTCTCTCCTCCTTTTATAGGACGCCACTCGGACTGCATTAGGGTCTAGTCCACTCTAGAAAGACCTCATGTTATCTTAACTGACAACATCTTGAAAGACCCTATTTCCAAACAAGGTCATCTTCACAGGTAGGATTCCAGTATCTCTGTTTGGGGGACACAGTTCAACTCATCACAGGTGATGAATCCAGCTAGGAAACAGGTGCAAAGTATCTCTGCCTCAGAAAACATTGCAGAATCCCTCATCGGCCCTGTTTGGTTGTCTGGTTTTGTATAGACACGAAGCGCTTGGTCTGCCCCTTAGAGGAGAATGCATTGCTCTTAACAAGTGGAAATAAGACATGGGGATCAATAACACTTGGAGGACTTGGATTTTAATGCAGTAACACAGAGGCCTGTGAGGCGATGTATTAGTCCTCGGGGAAATCGCACGCCCTAACACATCTCTCATCTTTTCTCACTGAGGTGCCCCCAAGGCAGGGTTTCCAAGCTGGGTGCGCAGACATCTGCGGGAGCAGGGGTACAGGTGGTTAGGTGGAACGGGGGCCCAGCAGAGATGCTTGTGGGTTCATCTTTGGTGAGGCCGTAGGAGCACAGAGAAATAGCGGCTTTCTCTGCTTTGGCTGGAATTTATACTTTGGCATCGTGGTGGTCTGATGGTAGATCCTGGTGCGCTGTTACCAGTTGCCTTTCGTGATGAAAGCTGGAAGGTAAATGCACTACTGCTTAATAGGTGTGGTTTGTTTGGCTAATTAAAATGTTATAAAAAATGGAGGCTGCGGTTCATGCATGGGGTAAAAATGAGGACTCAGTGGACTTTTTTTTTTTTTCTTCAATTTCTTAAAATTAACTTCACCTGTTCCCTTTCACCTTTTTTAAATAGACATCGTTTTTTAGAGCAGTTTTAGGTTTACAGAAAAAGTGTGCAGAAAGTAAGAGTTCCCATAGGCCCCCTCTCCTCCGTGCACACAGTTGCTCCTGTTATCAGCATCTTGCATTGATGTGGTTCATTTGTTAACATGGATGAAGCAATACTGATGCATCATTACTAACGGAAGTCCGCAGTTCACATCAGGCTCACTCTTTGTGTTGTCCAGTCCTGCGAGTTTTGACAATGCATAGTGTCATGTGTTCACCAGTACAGTATCCTACAGAATAGTTTCTGTAAAATACCCCACACCCATGATCACGAAGATGGTGCAGGACTGGGCAACTTTTCATTCCGTTGTACATAACATCATAATCGGTTGGAACTGACTCGACAGCAACTAACAGCAGCAACAACAACAACAAAGCCCTGTGCTCCACCTATTCATCACTCCTTCCTTCCCCGAACTCCTGGCAACCACTGATCTTTTTCATGTCCTTATAGTGTAGGGTCTCTATGACTCGGAATCAACTCGACTGCACACAACATAACATAGTTTTGACTTTTCCAGGATGTCATATAGTTCCAATCATGCGGTATGTAGCCTTTTCAGACTGGCTTCTTTCACTTAGCAGAATGCATTGAGGGTTCTTCCACATCTTTTTGTAGTTTGATAGCTCAAAATGACTAACATTTTTCTTTTTTCCTGTACAAAAATTTATACATACATTGTTATGTGACTCTAATTGCTCTCCCCATACTGTGACAGCCCACTCACTTCTCCTTTCCACCCGATTCCCCATGTCCATTCAACCAGCTCCTAACACTCTCTGCCTTCCCATCTCACCTCCAGACAGAAGCTGCCTGTTTAGTCTCTTGTATCTACTTGAGCTAAGAGGCACACTCCTCACGAGTATCACTTTATGTCCCACAGTCCAGTCCAATCCCTGTCTGAAGAGTTGGCCTCAGAAATTTAGTTCTGGGCCGATAGAGAATCCAGGGGCCATGCTTTCCGGGGTTCCTCCAGTCTCAGTCAGACCATTAAGTCTGGTCTTCTTACTAGAATTTGAGTTCTGCACCCTACCTTTCTCCTGCTCCATCTGGGACTCTCTGTTGCGTTCCCTGTCAGGGCAGTCACCAAAATGACTAACATTTTTCTAAATCAGGAATTGGGTCTAGAATAATGCTACATGATGGGTCCAGCATTACTGAGCAGTGAAACTCCAGTACTGAGAAAGGAACTGAGCTGGCTGAGTGCTCCTGCCTCTCCGAGGTGGAAGAGGGAGCAGGACTTGTGGCAGGGTGCCCTTCATGGGCCTGAGAGCATGGGCATGGGTCCTCGTGCCCCTCACTGTGATGGGCGCACACGGGAGGAAGACTTGACCCCCTCCGTGAACACCGAGGGCAGAGGGGCCTCAGGAGATAGAGATGAGGCAGCTCTGTGAGGCTGCTTCCTGGGACAGGTGGTGGTGCAGGCGTCAGTGGGATAGGAAGCCGGCAGAGTCAGCCAGGTATGGGTGCTGGCCTTCTCGTGCTGGGCCAACCCAGCTCCTCCCCGGTCCAAAGCAAACAGAGTCCGCCATGGGCAGATCCAGGTCCTCCTCGCTGGTAGAATTCCACCTGGCCAGTGCCTATTCAGAAAAGTAGCTTTCTTTTTGCAACTGAAATGATTCTTTGTACAACCAAACCTCAAACGTGTTTAGTTTTCAACTTTTTTTTTTTTTAAGTGCATTTCTGTTAAATCCCAATTTTTTTTTTTTTCCTTCCTCTTCATGATTAAGAAGAGACCTATGACCAAAAACTCGAAACGGACGAAATGAACGAGGTGGAGACGGCTCCGGTTCCTGAAGAAAAACCCATGCGGGTCCCACCGAAGGTGATGAGGCCCACGAAGCCCCGTAAAGCCTCCGTGGTCAGCTACATGGGTGGGTCCCCACTTTCTGCTTGCCCTCTGAGCCACCTCTGGGGGATGGAGGAGGGGAGCTAGTGGGTTGAGAGGTTTCCAAGTCAACAAACAGCGTGGAACAGGGTTGGGTGTAGCTTGCAAAAAGCACAGCCCTAAGACGTTTTGAAAAAAAATGATATTTTTAAGTCATTTTTAAAAGCAAGTTATTATAAGAGCTGTACTTGGGTGACACCTTTTTTCCCTAGGTGGGTAGTTTAAGGTTAGACCTTCCCCAGTCCTTTCAAAGGGAAACTGGGCTGAAATTGGGTTCCTCTTGGCAGTGCTGGTCTCCCCAGGGGAGAGTGAGAACATGCAGCGTAAAGCTGGTCCCAGTGGGTCCCAGCCTACCTTCACCATGTTCCAGCTCTGTGACTCAGCTGGTTACTCGACCCTTGGAGACTCGGTTTTCCCATCCATGAAGTGGGGCTAATGACACCTACATCAGGGCTGCGGTGAGGGTTATTTGCATAATGTGGGTCACCCCTTAAGCTTTGAGGCCATCATGAACTTGCCTTCAACACCCCATATTGGGTAGAAATTGAATGTCTTCCCCAAGGCATCTGAAAATTCCCAGGTGCTGAATGTTCTCATGCTCACTTCTCGGCCTGCTTTCCTCTTTCCTGACTTCATTGCAGTGCCTCCTAAGGTTTTCCTTCTTCCTGCCCTCACTCACCCAGGGTCAGCTCAGCTCCCCTCCGGATTTCCCCTGGACACTGCTCCCAGGGGTGCCTATGTGTGCAGCTGCCTTTCCTGAAGGTTTGGGCCTGTGGAGAGGTCTTTTCTTACAGATACAGCACAGGTATAGGCTGTATCGTTTTCCCCCTAAGCCTCAAGTGGCATAAAACTGGACTCACCCTAAATGGAAGCACAGCTTGTGCTAATCTTTCTCGGAAACCCTCTCTTCTTTTTCCAATTAGTCAAGTCTCATTATTTGCAATCATTGTGCTCTGTAAAGTCACCATGAATACTGCATTAGCAAATACTGAACCATTGTTCCAGGGGAAATACAGAGTTAGATTCCTGTGAGCCCCTGGTCACAACATTTTCATCAACTGATCGACACATACATAACCTTGTTATATGTGTGTTTCTGTTTACAGACTCCTTATTGAACACATATGGTTGATTCATTAACACTGAACTCAGCCAACAGCACTGTAACTCGTGCCTGAATGAAGCTTATTTAACACACGTTTTCTCCATAAGGCACATCACAGCCTTCTTGCACTTAGGAACACAAGACAGCATTTCAGCACAACGCTCAGGGGCCATTTTAAACAATGGACTCGCCAGCAACAAGCACAAAAATGAGAAGAACGTCTACACAGACCATGAAAAGGACCCTTGTTTGTAGTGTGAGAGCTGAAACAAGAAGGCAGAGCGTTGCCTTGTTTGGCCTCAGCTGCAAACATGTGCGTTGAGTGACTCAAACTTTTTCCCATTCTGTGCATGTCCACAAATGACTGCGAAAGTGCCACTAGTATTGATTTTGGGGTCACAAATGAATTTTAGCAAGTAGGTGAATTTGTACATACAGAATCCGTGATAATGAGGTTGACTGTCTTCTCCCCCGGCTATACCAGTCTTTCTATCCTCTCGTGTTTTCAAATACTTCCCCCTCTTCCAACTTTCTGACATTTAATCATTCAGTATCTTTATTTGAACAGGAAATAAGCTGATGCTCTTATCTTCCAAAAGCTCAAAATGGTTCCGTTGTTTTCTTTTCATAATGTAAAATTATAATATATATCTTTTTCCAAACTGTAACACTACTACAGGATTCTGATGTGTTCCTATAAAATAAGCGTAAGAGTAAAGCCTGCCAAAAGTCTTCTTGGCTGTGGGGAGACCTTCAGTGAGAATGGCAAGACTTCCTGCCCCCAGGGTCAGTTCAGCCTTCCTTTTCACTCCTGGGAGGTCCCCACCCTCCAGAAACCCTATGTGGTTCTGTGCACTAGTGTGTGCAGGCCCCTCTCCAAGGCTTAATCTTTAGTGCCTCATGTAATCCTCACAAAGCCCTGTGAGTGGGTACTGTCATTATCCCCATTATTGTTCATATTTGGAAACTGAGCCTCAGAGAGAGGAGGTAACTTGTCCAAGGTCACATAACTACTAAGTGGTGGACCTGGGATTCGAACATCATAACGGAAGCCAGCAGCCATTATGCATTGCTCCTGCCCTCCCTATGCACGGGTCCAGAGTGTCCCTCGAGGCAGGGTCGGGGGTCTTCTAGCCCAAACATCCTCCCTGTTTCTTGCTGTGACATATATTTCTGCATTCCTCTCCTAGCCCAGGTCGTTGGGTGTGACACCAAGATGAAGGACAAGTGCAAAGGTTCCACATGCAACAGGTAACGTCTCTGCTTCATCCCTGTCTTCGTGCTCTACTCCCATAGCATCCCCCAGTGTGACAACCAAAAATGTCTCCAGATGTTGCCAGCTGTCCCCTGGGGGTAAAATCGCCCTCAGTTGAGAACCACTGACTTATAGGGTTGACTCAGCTTCTGGATCTTCACCCCACCCCCATATATGTATTCTGATTAAGAGTTTCATCCCTACAAGCCACTATGAAATGCATTCTGGGGGAATAGTGAGCATCCAACCCCATCAAACACACCTGACCATGGTGTGTTGTTGGTAAGCCAGCTCTCAAAAACAACAACAAAAAATGATTTGTAGCAGTTGCCGATTTCTGTGGTGTAAATACTCCCATCCTGACTGATTTCAAGCTCCCAGTGATCTAATACCCAGCTCGCAGAGTTCCTGAATCTGTAACAAGCCAATTTCCAGCCAGGATAAGCTGACTCCAGCACACCCAGATTCTACATTAGCATCATCTGGGGAGCTTTTAAAAAACACTCACTCCAGAGCCCTCTGCTCAGAGATGCGGATTTAATTAGCCTGGGAAGGGGCCCAAGCGTCAGCTCTCCAGGTAATTCTGATATGCAGCTGGGCCGTGAGCCTTAAGCCAGAGCGAGTGTTTTCAAGCCTGAGAGCCCAGCAGACTCTCTTGCAGAGTCTGTTAAAGATACAGACTCTGGACGTCACCCCCAGAGGACCTAGGGGGTTGGGGTGGGCTCTGGAGTTTGAGAAATGGGAGAACCAGAGGAATGGGAGAATCAACCAAATGAGAGATAAGACAGTTACGGCCATGGAGGCCTTTCCTTGGCTTGTTGTGTTGTTAGTTGCTGTGGAGGTGATTCTGACTCATGGTGACCCCATGTGTTACAGAGTAGAACGGAGCTCCATAGGGTTTTCTTGACTGGAATCTTAACTGAAGCAGATCACCGGGACTTTTCTTCTGTGGTACTGCTGGGTGGGGTCAACCTGCCAACCTTTAGGTTAGCAGGCTTGCACCACCAAAAGGAGTTAAATCCCAGGCTGAAGGCTGGGCTGGGGCAGGGGCACAGTAAAAACAAGAATGGTCTTTATGGCGATATTAACAACAATTTTCACATGGTGCTGTTCCACTTACAAAGTACCTTCCCTTGTATCGATTCATTTCATCTTCAAGACGTCCCTGTGATGTGGGTGCTTCGTTCCTGTCCCCCAAGGCTGGGAATGGGTGACCACCTTGTCCTGGTTTGCCTGAGACTCTTGTGGTTTTAGTTCTGAAAGCCCTGGGAAGCCCCTCAGTCCTGGGCGAACCCGGACGCCTGCTCACCCTCGCTGAGAATGGAATTTAGGCAGACTTTCTGGGAGAAGCTGTGGACTTCCGAATGAGACCAATCTTACAGACCTAAAGGAACCCATTGCTAATAGGTCTGTAAGTGCTCTCTATCAAAGTCAATCCCTCCTCCCTCAGCGTTGGCTGTCTATTCACCAGGCAAGGCTGAGCTTTCTAGCAGAAGCCTGGCTGCAGATGCTCTGAGTTTTTGGTGAAAAAGTTCACCAGCTCTAGAACATACAAATTATACCATACATGTCATACCATACACGTGTGATAACATGTTATAAGCATGGTTTTGCCCAGTTGGGGGCTCCATTCCACCTCTGGGTGACAGGAGTCACAGGGCACCCTGTGTTCTGTGCCACGGCTGGTAGAAGGGAAAATTCCAGGCTAGGGAAGTGCTAGGGGTGTGTGTTGGCCCAGGGCCGTGGCCACTGACAGATGCAACAGGACTGCTGCAGAATTGGAGAAGGGCTGCTTACCGCTGGACCCTGCCGGATGATGGAGCTGCCAGTGTCTCCCCCAGTAGCTGAAGAGATTAATCTCATTGATGGAGTCAATTCATGTTGTCTGCTCGAATGGTGAAGCATGTCTGCCAAGAAGAGCACGGTTGGTTTTGGCAGCACAGCTGCTGGGCTGCTCTTTCTGGTGGTAAACAGCCCACAGGTGCAGATGCTCAGGTTCATGAAGGTAAAACATGTCATCAGGATGGGGAATGTCAGCGTCTTCTTGTGAATCCTGGCATCTGCACATCTGAAGCTGAATCCAGTTATTTAAAGTGAGAAGGTGGTGGGTCCTGGGTGCTACCATGGGGACTTAGGGTGTAGTGTGTAGGAGAATACTTCATTCAGACTTCAGCATGAGTGTTATGAAGCAGACTTTGGACAACCCAGGATGTGTGACAAGGCTGTTTGGTAGGTTCGTGCACTGTCCCAGGCAAAGCTGTCATGGGTCTGCAGCTACTGCAAAAGTCAAACCAGTTAACTTGCTGGTACAATGAGCAAGATGTGGCAATGATCAGTGGTGGAATGTTGTGGATATTAGGTGCCATTGAGTTGGTGCTGACTCATAGCGACCCTGCCCAGTCCTGCACCACCCTCACAATTGTTGCTATGTTTGAGCCCATCATGGCAGCCACTATGTCAATCCGTCTTGTTGGGGGTCTTCCTCTTTTTTGATGACCCTCTACTTTACTGAGCATGATGTTCTTCTCCAGAGACTGGTCCCTTCTGATAACATGCCCAGAGTATGTGAGATGAAGTCTCACCATCCTTGGTTCTAAGGAACATTCTGGCTGTACTTCTTCCAAGAAGTACAGAGGTAGAATAGCTATACCTAAAGCCTGCTGTGTCCCTGTGTACAATGTTAGGGTAACATTTGCAAGTCTCAGGCACCTCATAAGAAAGGCCTGGCAATCTACTTTAGAAAAATCAGCCATTGAAAATCCTGTGCAGCTCAATTCTACTCTGACATACATGCGGTTCCCAGGAGTCGGAATTGATTCCATGGCAGCTGGTTTGGTTTGGAGTTTTGGTTTTGTGCTGGGTACATTGGGAAGAAAGCCAGCAGCTCCCAGAAAGAGGTGTTCACTACACAAACTAATGGGTGTGTGATTTTTGGAGCGGTCCAGGGTTGCCCTTTTGTGGTGGTGGCGCTTTCTGCACTCCAGGCTCTTCATGAGAGGATCACACCTGAGTACTCATTGCAAAAAAAATTAACAAGGTTTGGAGACCACCTCTCACCAGACAAACAGCATCATCAGAGGCAGAGGTGGACGGGGCACTCCCCAAGCAGGGAGAAGACAGTTAAGAATTAGAACTCATCCCACCTGCAAACACACCAACGCTTGCTGTTTCTCTCACCTAGGCCATGCCATGATCTGACACAGCAGTTTTCTCTCTATGTTTACTGGGCTTTTTTTCTGATTTTAAAAGGTATTCTTGTTCCTTGTAAAGAATTTAGGAAAAACAAAATAACAAAAAAAGGATAAAGAAGTAAATGTCCCAGAATCTCACCAATATTGGTAGCAATTTGGTATATTTCCTTCCAGTCTTTTTTCTGTGCACTGATGAGGCCAATTTTGCAATTATGTTTGTTACTGTTTTCACTTAATATTTTCCACCACCAATAAATATTCCGCAAGACTTCATTTTTAGTGACTGCATAATACTCTGACATGCGACTAAAAAAAAAGTGTGTGTGGCCGTTCCTTTTGACACCTAGTAACTCATTTCCAGCTTTTCACAATTAGAACCTGTTGGAATATGTGTGTACATATACACAAGCATCCTCAGATGAGTTTGGTACAGAAAGGCATATCAACACAAAAGGGGAGCCCTCAAACTCTCCAGAAATTGTCAGAATATACATATTGGTCTGTTTTCTGACTTTTTATTTGGGATATACACCTACGACAGAAATTCAAGAGTCAATGGGTATGAATTTTTAAAGCTTTCTGGAAAGGTTAGAGTAATTTAGACAGGGTGCAGGAGTATTCTTCCCTACATGAACACCATCACTGAGTTTTATGACATTAAAAAACCCGTGCCGTTTGATACATGGAAAATGTGGTCTCTCTTTAATCTGCACTTCTTTGATGAGTGATGTTGGACGTTTTGCATGCATTGAAGCCATTTGTGTTTCGTCTTTGAATTGTCTGTATCTTCGTCTTCACCCATAGTGCTGGCCTTAAGCAGGTGAAAGTAGTCTTTAAGAAGGGCAAACTGAATTTATAATTGTGTTCATGTGGATATAAACTGCAGGCTGGGCCTGGGTAAATTATGACCTGTTCGGAAATAATAGATTGTAAATGAAGCTTCTTTATGTATAATAATAGAGCTATTGAAGAAGAAAACGATAAATTCACTGTGCGATTTCATCAATGTGCTTGCCTCTGAAACTCGTTTTACTTCTTCTCCACCAGGTACCAGTGTCCAGCAGGCTGTTTGAACAACAAGGCAAAGATTTTTGGAACTCTCTATTATGAAAGTGTAAGTGTGGCCGATGCTTCTTTAAATGGCTCGTGTATTTTTAAACAAGGTTGGTGGTTTTAATAGGAAAAGTGCTTCTTTCCCCTTCTGAGTAAAACCTTACATTTGGACGATTGATCCGCGCAGACTCATGGCTCACAGACTCGTGAAGCCACTCTTGGAATCCAGGGCTGACCCCAAGGCAGAGCTGTCTCCACTTCAGAACTTGTGTTAATATGCTCGACTGGAGGGGGAGAAAGGGCTATTTGTCACTGTTCTTAGTTTGTAAAGCAACTCACATGAGCTTTTTAAGATAAGCAACCCCAGGAACAAAGACGTGGTTATAGAGAAAGGAAAGGGTCGGAAGGAGTGAGCTTTATCCTGTCTTTTTGGCTTTTAGTGGGGTGAGGACAAACACCTTGGGTATTTCTGAAAAAGATTGTTGACAAAGGTTAATTCAGAATATATTTATGGTCTTGTGCCCCCACCCCCCAGTCATCCAGCATATGCCGCGCTGCAATTCACTACGGAATCATAGACGACAAAGGAGGCCTTGTGGACGTCACCAGGAACGGGAAGGTCCCCTTTTTCGTGAAGTCGGAGAGGCACGGCGTGGGGTCTTTGAGGTGACTATTCTGTGACCAAAACAAACCAGTTGCTGTCGTGTTGATTCCAATTCATGGCGACCCCATGTGTGTCGGAGAAGAACTGTGCTTCAGGGGGTTTTCAATGGCTGTGATCTTTCAGAAGTAGATCACCAAGCCTTTCTTCCAAGGCACCTCTGAGTGGACTTGAATTGCCAACCTTTCAGTTAGCAGCTGAGTGCATTAACCATTTATACCACCCAGGACCTCCTACTGTGTGGCCAGGATTCCTTAAAACATTTTTTCCCAGTTATGAGCTTATTGTGGAAACATCAAAAAGTCCTAAAAAATAGAAAGAAGCAGGAAAAAAAAGATTACCTTAATCCCTAACTCAGAAATTGCCACTATGGACAGTTTAGCATACTGCATTCCTGTGGGATTTTTTTATGTGTATTTTTAATTTGGTTGAATTGGAATCCTGCCTTTTCCACCTGCCCAGACACTGAGAACTCTTTAGATGCGCCATTATTAACAGTTGATGATTTCCATGAGTGTATAGGGTAATTCTTTTTTTTTTTGGTTTTTTTAAAATTTTTTTTATTGTACTCAGGTGAAGGCTTACAGAACAACTAGTTTCTCATGAAACAGTAGTACACATATTGTTTTTGACATTGGTTAACAACCCCACAACATGTCAACCCTCTAACTTCTCAACCATTTTTTTTTGGTGAAAATACACATAGCCAAAGATACACCATTTCAAAACTTTCTACATGCACAGTTCAGTGACATTGACTACGCTCTTCCAGTTGTGCTGTTATTCTCACTGAAGCTGAAGGCTTACAGAACAAAATAGTTTCTCATCTAACAATTACTACAAATGTTTCCCTATGACAATGGTTAACAATCTCACAACACATCAACAATATCCTTACTCAACCTTGGGTTCCCTATCACCAACTGCTTGCCCCTTCTGCCTTCTGGCCTTTGTCACTGGACTACTGTACCTCGTTAGTCTCATTTGGTTTTACGGGGCTGTCCACTCCCAGGCTGAACAGCGAACCTCGGAGATAACTTCACCACTGAGCTAAAAGGGTGTCTGGGGGCCATACTCTTGGGGTTTCTCCAGTCTCCTTTAGGCCAGTAAATCTGGCCTTTTTTTTTTTTTTCCACATAAACACCTGCAGCTTTATTCATTACTGCCCAAAATTGAAGGCAACCAAGATATCCTTCAATAGGTGAAAGGGCAAACAAACTGTGATATATACACACAATGAAGTATTATTCCGCAATAAAAAGAAATAAGCTATCAAACTACAAAAAGACATGGAGGAAACCCATTCCCGGAGATTACCTTTCAGCCAAATAATAGACAGGCCTATAAAGTGAACAATAACATATAGGGTAATTCTTGATTAGTACTTTTTCTTACTCCCTAGACAATGATGCTTTTCATTTTCAAAATATGCTTACTTTTCTTCTAAGGCAATGTTTTCCACATAAGTATGTGGCGGACAATAGGTAGACCATCTTGGTCGTTCTGACTTATTGGGTGGTGGAGGGAGAGGTCAGATCTCTTGGGTGCTCGTGTCTTGGTCTTTGTATGGGTTTAGTGGCACAGGTGGTCCTGGAGCCTGGGGAGCCCAGCAGTCTACAGCAGGGGCTGTGGGGTCAGACAGACCTGCCTTATGAACTTAAGGGAGGGAAGTTAGTTAGACAAAGCGCAGGGATGTCCAAATGAAAGCAATGGAAGTATCCACTGAGATATTGCAGTGTGACTGCAATGCCGGCCATAGTAAAACTGAGTACAGGCAGCGACCATTCGTGAGCTTGGCAAAGGACTCAGTTCCTGCGCTGGGTGGAGCCTTTATCCTGGAGGGACTTCTGGCCCCTTCCAATGGCCAACTTTGCATCCAGAGCGGTTCTTCACATTTTAGAATTCAGGGGGTCTGTGAACATCGATGCAAAGAAAACGACAACTTTATTTTCACCAACCTCTCATTGAAAAGTAGTATTTCCTTCAATTATGAATGTTGGCCACAAACCAGAGTAGTATTGGCAGGTGACTCTCACCGATAGATATCCAGGTGCTGCAGATGTTTCAAAACACTCTCCGCTCATCCCCACCTTGAAATGGCAGTACTGCTTAGACTCGCCTATAGAGTTTGTTATTTATTGCATTACCAAAGAAACACAGCAATTCCTCCAACACGAACTTGTTTTCATACTTTGCTGATGACATTAATACTTGGTAACTGATTTCCTTTGTAATCTTTTGAATTTATTTTATGCACGGTAAATCCATTATTCTGAGAAGGGGTCCACAGGCTTCATGTGTGCCAATGGAGGGGTCCACGGCACAAAAAAAGCTAAGAAGCCCTGCTCTAGAGGGTTCTCAGAGCTTTCAGCCTGGTGGAAAACAACCAGGAACATGTAAAGTCAAGTCTGTAAATAAAATTAGTACAGGAGCCAGTGTGTGCTCTGAGAAGCAATTCTGTTTGTGTTTACCATTTCCTGACGTTTTCTTTTGCAGCAAATACAAAGCTTCCAGTTCATTCATGGTGTCAGAAGTAAAAGGTAAGCTGGCTGGTCTTTTATGTGACCATAATCCACAGGTTATCTTGGATTTCCCTGCACAGTTCATTCCCTTTAGTTATTGGTTTAATGTTTAGCATACCTGCTAACATTGCCATTCTCAGTATATGCCCACCGCCTGTTTTGTAAATAAAGTTTTATTGGAACACAGCCAGGCACATTCATTTACACATTGTCTATGGCTGCTTTCTGCTCTACCAGCAAGTTGAGCAGTTGCAACAGAGACCACATGGACCACAACAATGAAAACATTTACTATCTGGCTCTTTAAGAATAAGTTTGCTGACCCTTGAACTATATGAGGATAAGTGGCCGGTATTTTAACCATTTTCTTATGTCTGTTGTTAAACACGATATATGGCCTTCAAGAAAGGAGTCGCCTGCCTGGCAGCAGGGGTGGACTGGCAGCGATCAGACACAGGTGGTGCTCTGTGCCATGGAAAGAGTTCTAGACTAGGACTCCAAACGCTGGTTCTTGCCGTGGCCTATGACATCTCCAGTGTCTCTCAGCTTCTCTGAGCCTTGGTTTCCTTGCATGTATAATTGCAATAACAGCTATCATCAAGATCTAATGGGATAGGGCCAGAGAAAGGCCTTAAAATTGAAAAGAAAGCACTGTTCAGATGAGAAGTATTGTTAGTCCCCGAGAAACCACTGCGGGTGAGATCCTTGACGTGTCAGCACACTTAGGCCCTACATGAAGGACCTTGGTGTCTGCTGGATTCCAACCCAACCGAGTGAGCCTATAGGACCCCATTGTCCAGCAACCTATTTCACAGGCCAGTAGCCCGAGGCCCAGGTTGCTGGGACCTGACCCTTTCTCGGCATGTTCCTGTTCACAGTGCAGGACCTGGATTGCTACACCACCGTTGCTCAACTCTGTCCATTTGAGAAGCCGACCACACACTGCCCAAGGTGAGGCAAGGGAGCAGAAACGAGAGGGGTGGGGGCATTACTTCCTCTCTGAGCCTCGCTGTGGGGTCTGATTTCTTGTACATTGTGGCCAAGAGAAGGTGGCTCCATGCTGGATGGGTGTCATCTCATGGCAGAGAAGCACACCATGTTCTAGAAGTGGCCCTTACACGTGCCCACTCTGGAAGATGGTTGCTCACGTTCAGGCAGGAACCCAGTAGATCTTTCCATAGATCAGTGGTTCTCAACCCTCGCTGCATGCTGGAATTCCCTGGGGAGCATAAAAATAAAAATCCCTGGACCAATTCAATCCAAATCTCTAGAGGTGGGCCAGGCAGCGGCATCAGCATTCTCTAAAAGCTTCCTAGATGATTCCGTGTGCACCTAGGCCCAAGAAACCTAGAGAAGCTCTAGAGAACTTCAGTAAGAGAACGATTTTGTCCCACTTGATTGCTGCAGCTCACTCAAGAGAGTATTTTCATGTGTATGAATGACTTCATTTGCCACTAAACTCTTCCCTAACCCATTCAGACCTTGAGGTTTGCCATTCTTGGTTTCTCGAATCAGTTTTAGAAATACTGGAAGCTGGGCATCACTTGTTCTCTTTAAATTAGCTCATTATTTCTTGTACTTGATCTGTAGTATTTTCTGTGGGTCACTCTAGAAATTTTTTTTTTTATCGGCTTTATTGAGGTATAACTGGCACACAATAAAATTCACCAGTTATAAGGATACGACTTGATGTGTTTTGACAAATGTATACAGTCATGTAACACAACTGAGATATAGAACATTTTCATCACCCCAAAAAGTTCCCTTGTAGTCAATCCCTCCCCTCCCACCCCTAGTCCCTGACAGCTGCCGATATTTTTTGTGTCATTGTAACTTTGCCTTTTCTAGAATTTCACACAAATGAAGCCATCATGTACACAGGCGTCTGTGTCTGGCTTCTTTTGCTCAGCATCGTGCATTTGAGATGCAGCCATGTAGTCTGTGGTGCTGAGTAGCAGCGCATTCTATGGCGGTACCATGATTTGTTATCCAAGGGAAAGGTTTTACATGTATCTGCCCAGACCGCAATGAACTGGCTCTTGGAGGATGCTGCATCTTACATAAAATAAGGGCTATCCTGGTAGTATTTCTCTCTAAAGTACCAGTAGATCACCTTGGAGAGGGGGAAAAAGAAAATATACTTCTTATTTTAATTGGCAGAGGAGCAACCTTTGATTGAACAGGTCTTAAGTTTTTTGGAGTTACCCATTTGTCATCTAGAAATTTCTCAGCCATCAGAAAATATACAGGGAAGCAAAACTGTCTTTCAAAGCAAGCTTTCTGACTTACCTCCATTGTAAAGTTGGAAATACAGTGGGAAGCTCCTGGTACCCTGGGTTGAAAGCTCTAAGGATAGTGACAGCTAACTCTGAGGCTGGGTGATGTATCCCATGAGCCCTTATCCCAGGCTTGGAGACTTCTGGATTCTTGTGGGGAATGACTGACTTTGAAAACAATGGGTGGAGACCCCAAGGTCCTAGCAGGAAAGAGCGCGGGGAGGATGCCTGGTTACGGAGAGGAGACTGATGGGATCCCTGACTACTTTTCCTCTGCTACTTGCCTTCCCCTTGGGGCTTTCTCACAGCTTCACTGCCACCCTTAACACCATGCTGATGCCCTTGAATGTTCAAGTGGGGGTAACAACCTTTTAGTAGATTTTCCTGAATATTAAAGAGAAGCAGAAGGAAATTGTTTCAGAAAATACAAATAAAAAGAAAAACTTGATGTAGTATGAGTATCCAAAATATAAGATCCTGACCTACCATCCAAAAGAAGTTGGAAAAGAACATTCCTAGACTTTCAAATACACCTTTTTTTTAAAAAAAAAAAAAAAAAAAGAAGAAGCACACAAACATGCATGCCTAACACATCTAACAATCTTTTCTCCCCACCCTCCTCTTCCTGCCCAGAACTGTTACAACATCTCAATCCCTTTGTCTAGCTTTCTTTCCTCTGTAAATCCTGCCTGTCTCAGGGCCAGACGGCTTCTGGCCGCCATTTTGGTTTCTTGGTCCCTGGGCTCCAGCCCATAGTGTACTGTTCCAGATAAACACAAAGGACCTTTTCTTAAGTAGAGCTCACGTGCTTTGCTAGTTTGGCTCTCTTAAACCATCTAAGGCCTACCCATTTCCAGCTCAAGGCACTCTCCTCATCCCCTGTGTGGCTGGTAGGGCTGTGGTGTCTAACACAATCGTTTCTGTCTCAAGTTATCAATGCCCCCTCCCTGAAATATTCTGTGATCACCAAGCTGAGGCCCCTCCACCCTTTCCTCTCCCATACAGGGAAGTGGCCTTAAAAAATAGTCTATTGATTATAATCTCCATGATGTACCCACAGTATGAACTGGCCAACACCTAAGAATGGGAGGCAGGATCTCTCACAATTCCATACTCACATCTCTCAGATTTTTACTCTCTTTCACCTTTTTGGTTGTGTCTTTGTGTGTGTGTGTGTGCGTGTGTGTGTTTAATTCTATATGCACTCTTTAAGAAGAGGAAAAATATCTTTATTATTGCTAGCATGGGAGACACATATTTTTCTTAAAGAGTAAAACAGTATGGTAGTTTCCCTTCATCTAAGTACGTAAATAAAAGATCTAAAATTCAAATAAAGAGAGCCAGCTGCCTCTCAAGAGTTTTTGTGCGCTGCTGATGGTAACCAGCCCATAAATGCTTCTTGTTGGCAGAGTCCGCTGTCCCGCGCACTGCAAAGACGAGCCGTCCTACTGGGTTCCTGTGTTTGGAACCAACATCTATGCAGATGTAAGTATGCTGCCATTTTCAATGACCACCTCTCAGAACCTGTTAAGACCTCAGGAACAACGTTTCAAGGTCTGGATACCAGAAACCTGATGTGTTCGTTTCCTGCAGCTGCCATAACTAATTACCACAAAATGGTTGGCTTAAAACAACCGAAAATTATCCTCTCACTGTTTGAGAGGCTACAAGTCCAAAATCAAGGTGTTGGCAGGGCCATGCCCCCACTAAAGGCACTAGAAAAGAATACTTCCTTGACTCTTCTTAACTTCTCGTGGTTGCCAGCAATCGTTGGCAATTTTATAGGCTTGTGGCTACATCACACCAATCTCTGCCTCCGTTGTCACATGGACTTCTTTGTCTCCCTGGGTCTTCACATGGCATTGTTACAAGCATACCAGTTTCGGATTCAGAGCCCACCCTAATCCAGTATGACATCATCTTAACTAATTACATTCGCAACGAGCCTGTTTCCAAATAAGGTCACAGTCTGAGGTTCCAGGTGGACATGAATTTTGGGGGAAACACTATTCAACCCAGTACACCTGAGCTCTCATTACAGCCTCTCTAGCTAAATTTAGCCCACTCATTTCTGTCATCAGTGCCCTAGTGGTTCCATTTGCAGAGATACTAGTACTTCCACCTACCTATGCATCTGAATGCAAATGCAAGTGTGCCTCATTTTACCCAACTATTTCAATAGTTTTACAATTTTGGTTGTTCTGTAATTTTAATAGTTTTGAATTCTGCTTCCTCATTGAACATGCATTTATAATTTTGGAGGCTTTCATGCTCCACATACTGCATTCTGTCAGACATTTAATAATCTTTCTGGCTCTACCGATGCACTTATGGATACTGATCCACTCTGCCCACTATAGTCAGTTTGGGTTATACACACACTTAGCTAAAAGCACAGAGAAGAAAATACAGATTATGTCTAGTTTACTATTCATCGACAACCACTCATTATATTGGTGTCTGTTCTTCCATTTTCCCTTCCTAACTTTAGCAGGGAAGCTTTAGTCTGATTTTTCTCAAGTGGATACTCCACAACATAGTCCATCCTCCTCTAGGCACCTAGAATTTGGGAGTCTGGTTACCCAGAAGATGTGACTGTGGTCACAGCTCTGCCCCTGAAAGGCTGTGTGATGTGGAATTCTGTGATTAGATCAGCATCATTCATCCCCAGATGACATTTTACTCAGCCTTTCCTCATCTGCATTTTTACGGCCCTCCCCCACCCACTACCACCGTCTTTGCCTCCATCTGTCTTGTTTCCTATAAACATGACTCACAGAAGCCACTGAGTTTTGTAGGTTCAAAGCCACTTTCATGGCTAGCCTTTTTCTTCCTCCACTTTTTTCTTTTCATTTTTAATGAGTCTTTGTTCTTCTTGAAAGCTATTGAGCCAAAATTGAGTTCTAAAATATAAATGAAGGAGTAAAATAATATATCTAATTGTTACTCTAAATATTTTGACCAAATTTTGCTATTAAAAGATAGAGAAAAATAGAGATGGACCAAGTGATTCCAGCCAAATACAAACAAACAACAAAAATCCGGAGTGGTAATATTATTATCTGATAAGGTAGAAATCAAAGTTAAACTTACTCAATGGGACAAAGAAATTCATTACTCAAGGGCACAAAAGTACAATATGTGAAGAAGATAGGAAAATCAAACCTAAACACGTCGAACAACATAGCAGCTAAATACACGAAACAAAACAAAAAGTTAGAAATACAAGGATAACTTGATGAAAACACTGTTGTTGTTGTTAGGTGCCATCGAGTCGGTTCCAACCCACAGCGACCCTATGTATGAGAGAACGAAACCCTGCCCGGTCCTGCGCCATCCTCACAATCATTGTTATGCTTGAGCCCATTGTTGCAGCTACTGTGTCAATCCATCTCCTTGAGGGTCTTCTTTTTTGCTGACCCTCTACTTTACCAAGCATGATGTCCTTCTCCAGGGACTGATCCCTCCTGATAACAAGACCAAAGTATGTGAGATGAAGTCTCACCATCCTTGCTTCTAAGGAGCGTTCTGGCTGTATTTCTTCCAAGACAGATTGGTTCATTCTTTTGGCAGTCCATGGTATATTCAGTATTCTTCGCCAACACCATAATTGATGAAAACATAGTAATAATAAAAAGCTGCCTTTCATTCGACACCTACTATGTTTTAGGTGCTTTGAAAACACCATCTACAGGCATCGTCATCCCCATTTTACAGAGTAGAAAACTGAGGCTCAGAATAACCTGCCCCACATCACACAGCTAGTAGGTGGCAGAGGTGAGATTCACTTAAGGTGTGTCTGGCCTTAGGCTCTGTTATCTTCCTCCTCTTTAGTGCCTTGCTTGAATGTACCCGTGCTCATAATCACACCGATGTGAACTGGCATGTGGGCGAAAACCTATACGCAGTCTTTACCTAACTTGCTCACTAGTTTTGAGGGGGTTTTGAGCTTTTGGAACCACCGTGCTCAGGGCAGGGCTTGGCACACAGTAGTTGCTCAATCAATGCTTGTTGAGTAAATACATAAATAACGATACTACAGCAGTCACTATTTAAACAGCTCTTCAAAATAGAAGATAAAGAAGAAGGAGAAAGAAAGAAAGAGAGAGAGAGAAAGGAAGAGAAAGAAGGGAGGAAGGAAGCCACTTCCATGTCAGAGGTCCTTTTCTGGCCTTAGTTTCTAGGTCACTCTGTACTCTGGGAAATGGTGAGTCTTCTGGAAAATGTCTGTTTAGCTGAGAGTTATTTTGGGAGCGTCATCTCCAGACTGTGAAGGGCCTAACAGTGCCTGCAGTGCAGCCTGCTCCCCAGGAGCCCACGACTTGGCACACCTTTCACTTTGGGGAGAGTACAGGGACCCCACACGTCAGCCGCAGGCAGGAAAAGCATCAGGGTGTGTCCAAAAGAGCAACGCCTGGGCCAGGAGTCCTGAGTTTCCGCCCCAGCCATGACATCCATTAGTTGTGGAATGTTGGACAAGCCTTTCCCCACTCTCAGCCTCAGCCTTCTTATCTGTCCTACCGGTCTTTCTCGTGTTTAGATGAGTTCTCACACTGTGGAGTTCTGTTCAAACAGATTTCCGGGCCCTACTCCCGGTGTTTCTGATTCAGTGAGTCTGGGAAGGGACCTGAGAGTGTCCGTTTCTACCAAGCTCCCCAGAGATGCTGGTGCTGCAGGTCCCACTTTGAGGACCACTGGGCTAGAGTGAAAGTCCCTTGAGAATTGTTGATGACGGTGAGTGATGATTATGGCAGTGATATTTGTCTGACCAACTAACATTTATTGAGCACTTACTATGTGCCAGCCTGCGTTAAGCCCTTCATCTTATTTAGTCTTTATGATGACTCTTGGAGGGCTTCACTATTATTACCCAGTATAGAGGAGCGTGTAGATTGCAGGCTCTGGAGGGTGGCAGTCCTGGCTCTGCTGTTAACCAGCATAATGTCTTTGGGCAAGTCATTTAGCCTCCCTGAACCTCAGTTTACCCATCTGTTAAGAGGGAATAAGAATACCTATCTTGTAGAGTTAGTGGGCGATTACTATGTCAGTGGGAGTCCTGGGGTGGTGCAAATGGTTAAGCGCTGGGCTACTAACTGAAAGGTTGGAGACTTCAGCCTGCCCAGAGGAATCTTGGAAGAAAGGCCTGGCAATCTACTTCCAAAAAATCAGTTCTACTCTGACACGCAGGTCACCATGAGTCAGAGATGACCCCATGGCAACTGTTTTTTTTTTTTTTTTTTATCTATCAGAAAGTGGAGAATGTTGAAAAGACTTTGAATAACCATAAATGTCAAAAGTCCATTAGACAGCACATGTCAGTTTACTTCTCTAGGTTTAAATATAAGCCATTGGAATATAAGCCCCTTGAGGGCAGGGCCTGGGTCTGGTTCATTTATATATTCCTAAGGCTGTGAACTGAGATGTTGGCTGTTCAAGTCCGCCCAGAGGCACTTCGGAAGAAAGCCCTGACAATCTACTTCTGAAAAATCAGCCTTTGAAAACCCTATGAAGCACAGTTCTACTCTCACACCCATGGGGTTGTCATGAGTTGGAGTCAACTCGACAGCAATGGGTTTGGATTTTTTTTTTTATTACTGTATCTATATCTGTGAAATGCTTAGAACAGGGTCCGGTATGGCCAATGCTGAAAAATGTTACTATGATAATCCCCACTTGATACTGAGGAAATAGAGGCTTGGGGGTTAAAACAGGTCACAGGCAGCAAGTAAGTGGTGGAGGAAGGATGGGCTTCCAGCTTCTCTGAGGCCAGACGCTGGGCCCCATCCTTGTTCTTGCTGACATCGGGTGTTAACAAACCTCCAGTGGACACCCTGTACCTTCTGCAGAAGCTTGGCGAGAGGAGAGGTATGGGCGGAAGGCAGAAAGAGAAAGAAAGTGTTGCCAGCACCAGGGTGTGCCAAGCGTGCATTGGTAACTGAGAAAGATCTGGCCGTGGTGAGGTTCTCAGACTCACAGCCCACAGCCTGATATTATCACAGAAAGCTCCTGATTCACTGGTGTCCAGAAGCCCTCAGGGAGGGGAGGGGAGGACTGTCACAGAGGTGTGAGACAAATGTGGTCTCTCAATCAAGGGGGCCGATCCCTACATCATCTATATGGACAATAAGCGTGTTTGTGCCTGTTTACAAAACTCCCCCACTAACAGTGACCTGAGAGGAATTCTGAGATGACCATTAGCTGGTCTCCCTGCCTCTCTTTGAGATGGATGCGAAGCCACTGCTTCTTAACCTTTTGGGGACATGAACGCCTTTGAGAATCGGAAAGATATGGATCCTTTCTCCAAGAAAAGGCTTGGTGGTTGCAGCGTGGTGGATCACTTTCATATGACCTTTCTTGCCACGGTCTTGTGACTGTGCAAATAAGGTAATAGTGGCCAACCAACGGGATTGGTCAGTTTTGCCATCCTGCTAGGGTTAAAATGAACCATCCCAGAAGTGAGAAGAGAGGATCTCACCACCACCAAGGAAGAAGAGCCAGGAGCAGAGCACGTTCTTTGGACCTGGGATCCCTGAGACCCTCCTAGACCCAGGAGACAGAGAGAGAGCTGTAAAACCAAAGACAGCAAGATGACTAGCAGTGGCAGAAAAACAGCAGCAGCAGAACAAGGTGACTGGCAGGAGACGGGCAGGAGATGGCATGATAGGCTTCCCAGCCCACGGAGTGAGAAAGTTGAGTGCCTCGAGGCACTTGGTGGAGCTAGCTAGAGCTGAGCACCTTCTGGTGGAGGCTTCCTGGCAGAGTAGGGTGCCTTGGGCACTTATCAGCAGAGCTAGAAGAGCTTTGTAACACTAGCCTGAGCAGGGCAGAGGCCAGGCTGAGGGCCAGAGAGAGACCTGCCTGCAGGCATGGCTGAGAAGAGGCTGTCCTGATGGAAGAACTGTATCCTGAGCATTCCGGAACCTGAGTTGTAACTGTTACTTCCCTAATAATCCCCATAATTGTATTGTCTTTGAGTTCTGTGTGGCCATTGCAATGAATTATCAAACCCAGCAGAGAAGTAGAGTGCTGTGGGAGGGACAGTTGGTGTCAGAATGGTAAAGATGGCGGAGAGAGGAGGCATGTCTGACCTCCGCCTCATAGAAATCAGTCTTGGGCTGTTGATCTTGACTCTCCTTCTCCCTCGTGAAGTTAGAAGAGGTCAGAAGCCACCCCCCGCGCCATTCCTACAGTGGTGCAGACAGCTGTCCTGTGTGCTTCCCAGACACAGGACTCCAGTGCTAAGATCAGGAAAGTCTGTGCAGAACCTACAGACGTACACAGTTCTGCCTGCAGCCTCAGGCCTCACGAACACTCACAGTCTGGGGCCAACGACCCCTGTCCTCATCTGTTTGTTATTGAAGAAGCCTGGTCCAGCATGTTGTCAAAATGTCAGTGGAGTGATTCCCCTTGAGATTCTACTTCCTGTATAATTTCAGGTCATCAGACTTAAACCACCAGTTGCCGTGGAGTCGACTCCAAGTCATGGTGACCCCATGTATGTCAGAGTAGCGTTGTCAATGGCTAAGTTTTTTTTTTTTAATTGTTGTAATTAAATGAAGTTTACATTTCAAGTTAGTCTCCCATACAAAATTTTTTTTGCATACATTGTTATGAGACCCTAATTGCTCACCCCATCAGCAACAGCACACTCCTCCTTTCCACCCCTGATTCCCTATGACCATTCAACCAGCTCCTAACTCTCTCTGCCTTCCCATCTCACCTTTGGACAGAAGCTGCCCCTTTGATCTCTTGTATCTACTTGACTAAGAGCACACTCTTCACGAGTATCACTTTATGTCCCACAGTCCAGTCGAATCCCTGTCTGAAGAGTTGGCCTCGGAAATTGTTTTAGTTCTGGGCTGATAGAAAGTCCAGGGGTCACGCTTTCTGGGGCGCCTCCAGTCTCAGTCAGACCATTAAATCTGTTCTTCTTACTAGAATTTGAGTTCTGCACCCCATCCTTCTATTGCTCCATGGAACCCTCTGTTGTGTTCCCTGTCAGGACGTTCATTGGTGGTAGCTGGGCACCATCTAGTTCCTCTGGTCTCAGGCTGATGAAGTCTCTGGTTTATGTGGCCCATTCTGTCTCTTGGGCTACTAATTTCCTTGTGTCTTTGGTGTTCTTCATTCTCCTTTACTCCAAGTGGTTGGGACCAATTGATGCATTTTAGATGGCTGCTTACAAGCTTTTAAGACCCCAGACGTCAATGGCTAAGTTTTTGAAAAGAGATTGCCAGGCCTTTTTTCAAAGGTGCCTCTGAGTGGACTCAAACTTCCAACCTTTCACTTAGCAGCCCAGCATGTTGACTGTTTACAGCACCCAGGGACTCTCATCAAACTCCAATCTCTGCCTCCATCTTCATACGGTCTTCCTCTCAAGTCTCAGTCTCAACCCTCCCTCTGCTTCTCTCTTATAAGGACTCTTACCCTGGGATTTAGGTCTCGCCCCAATCCAGGATGATCTCATCTCAAGAGCTCTACTTTAATTACATCTTCAGAGACCCTTTTTCCAAATAAAGTCACATCCACTGGCACCGGAGGGGTTAGGACTTGGAGATGTCTTTTTGGAGGACACCATTCAACCCAGCACAGTAGCCATGTTTATTTCTAGGGGCTGCCATGGTCCACACCCCACCACCCAGGCGGCCCAGTCAGGTGGACACTGATCATAGCTCCTCCTGCTTTCCCAGACTTCCAGCATCTGCATGACAGCGGTGCATGCGGGCATTATCAGGAATGAGCACGGGGGCTACGTGGACGTGATGCCTGTCGACAAGAAGAAGAACTACGTGGGCTCACTCAGGAATGGTGTTCAGTCAGAAAGGTAGGGCGGGGTCTGACTCCGGGCTCCCACCACAGCCGGTGGTGGCCACTCAGGGGACCTGGGGTGGGGTGCCAACCATGTTACCTTTACAATAAAATTGGGTAGACTCACATTGGTTCTCTCCAGGACAACCAGGACAAGCCTGTGGTTTTCTCCTATCTTCCTTTCTTTCTTCAAAATAGGAAATTTTTTTTCCTATTACGAATGCATGTTTCTGTAAAAAATTGAGAAACATTAGATAAGCACAAAAGAAAACAATCGATAACCCATCAGCCAAGGGAACTGCTATCAGATTTTTGATATGTATCCTTCCAAGCCTTAATGTGTGTGTGCTTTTTTTCTTTTTTTACGAAAACAAAGAGGATCAAATTATAATGACTAGAAAATGAGAGCAGAGAGTCAGGAGTCCAACAGACCCGGACCCTGCCTCTTACAAGCTTTGTAACCTTGAGCAAGTTACCGCTTTTCTCCGAGCCTCAGTGTTCGCCTCTGTGATTTGGGGATAATAACTGGCCCTATCTCATAGGGATGTTGGGAGGGTTAATTGAGATAATGCATAACCTGGTGCCTAACAGTAATAAGCCCTTAGTAAATGAGAAGTATGTTCATTTATCTATATTTTCACTTATAGATCATAAAGGTTTCCCCTTTGCTCTTAAAATCTACTCCCATAATACCATTTTTAATGCATAGAATTGCATCAAATGAATGTGCCGCACTTCACGTAATTGCTGGCCATTTGGGTTCTTTTCGTGCTTTGGTGGAATAGCCATCTCCAAGATGGACAGCCTTATAGATGAATGTCTATATACACTTATGATTGTTTTCTTAAATCCCTACAAGTTAAATTTCTGTGTGAAAGGCTGTGTGGACTTCCAGGGCTTTGGGTATGCCCTTCCAGAATGTTCTTCAGAAAGCACCCAGCCCTGGTTCGGGCTGCCAGTCTGTTTCTGGTACACAACGCTCATTCTCACAAGTATCGCTGTTGTTCGTGGAACAAAACTCATGGGCTTTGGAGTTCAGAGGCCCAGGGCCTATGGCCAAACAAGGCACCACCTTTCCAAATCTCAGTTCCTTTATATGTAAAATGGGAGTGATGATCACACTTACCCAGGTGCAGACCCAGGTTATGGAGGACCTAAAGGTTTTATATTTGAGGGGCCCTCTTTAGAAAAGGAAGGTGAAATTAAGAATACAAGATGTCCAAGGCCCCTGAAGCTTCAGGCTTCATGGGTACGTCTGTGTCCTACCCTCCCGGCCCTTGGGGCCGGACTATGCCTCAGTGAAGCTCTCAGTGTGAAGACTCTGCAGAATCAAGTAATGCACAAACTACATTTATTGCTTCCGAGAGCTTCCTGCCCAGGAACTCTGCACCAGTCTGCAGCAGCATGAGTGAACAGCTTTTGCAATTCTCTCTTCAGCATTTGCAATCTTTGTTTGGGAAAAGTTTAATGAGAGGAAATTCCACTGATTTCATGGGAGGGAAGTGAAACAGCTGATTAGGTGGAATTTCCTGGCCAGACTGGAAAGAAATCCCTGGACACTCATTTGGTGAGCTCTTTCTACCCCTTTTAAGAGAGAGTCATCTTCCTGTGAAGTGCTAGGCTGAGCTTTGTTCTCTCCGCCGTCTTATCCTCACCCGCCTGAGGGGCCACACAATGAGGTCCTTGTCCTCCATTCCACAGGGAGACTGTGGTGATGTTCTCAGGGATAAGACAGAGGGCAGGGGACTCAGAGGAGGGGGACTGTGATTCTTTCTCACTCTTCCTCTCCAGGCAGCCCTTCCCCTGCATGAAGGTCAACAATACCAGTTGCCATAGAGTCATCTCCAACTCATAGTGACCTCTTGTGTGTCAGAGTAGAACTAAGCTCCATAGGGTTGTCAGTGGCTGATTTTTCAGAAGTAGATCACCAGGCCTTTCTTCTGAGGCATCTCTGCGTAGACTCCAACTGTCAATCTTTCAGTTAGCAGCCAAGGGCATTAACCATTTGCATCACCCAGGGGCTCCATGTCACTGATGTTGGCTTCATTGTTGAAAAAAGATTTCTGTGATTCTCCACAGCACTCCGATCAAGACTTTGCTTCCCTTGCTTTTCCGGCTCTTTCTTCTGAGTTCTGGGTGTGGAATTTGTGATGGTGTTTGGACAAGTTAACCCACCCTTTCTGTGCCTCAGTTTCCTCATCTGTAAAGGGGAAAATAATATTACCAATCTTATAGGGTAGCCCTGGTGGCGCAGTGGTTAAAAGGCTCGGCTTCTAACCAGAAGGTTGTCAGTTCGAACCCACCAGCCACTTCAAGGGAGAAAGATGCGGCAGTCTGCTTCTGTAAAGATTTACAGCCTTGGAAACCCTATGGGGCAGTTCCACTCTGTCCTATAGGGTCGCTAGGAGTCCAAATCGACTCAGCAGCAGTGGATTTTGGTGGGTATCTCATAGGGTGGTGGTGAGGCAGCAGTTCTCAAGGTGGGACCCGAAGACCAGCAGTATTGGAATCAACTGAGGACTTGTTAGAAATGCAGATTCTCAGGCCCCACCCCAGACCTACAGAATCAGATGCTCAGGGGGTGGGTCCGGCCATCTGTGTTTCACACGCCCTCCAGGGGTCCTGATACAGCTCAAGTGTGAGAGCGGCTATTGTAAGGATGATGCAAGGGCGACCACAGCGCTATACATGATTCTGTATTTTGTTATTAAGAGCTATCCATTTACTAACTATTTACTAAGCACCTGTGGTGTACCAGGACATGTGCTGGGACCTGTGGGTGCAGAGATGGCCAAGTCCAAGGAACAAGGATCAAGTCCAGTCTACACATATGGAAGGAAGAGGAATGAACCCTTCGGCCACACATAGGCTGGGCCAGAATGGCATGCAGAACCTGGTGGCATTTGGGACCCTGTTCCGTTGTTTGCCAGCTGGGTGACCTTGGGCTGGCACAGTCTCTCTGAGCCTCAGTCTCTCCTCTGTAAAATGGGTTGCTGGGGGATTAAACGAGGTCATGTGTACAAAGCACTTACTCAGTGGCTCCTGGTAAGAGTCTAATAGGATCTGGGGGCCCTTGGTGCTGTTACATAACTTCTAAGGTCTACTCTAAACCTTAGGAAGCTGGGGTTCTTTTCATGGAGGGTCAAGTGGCTTGAGCATAAGAAATGGCCTAAATGAATCCTCTTTCAGGACAAGGGACAAGACATCTTACAAGAATTCATTCTTTTATCCTTGTACCCATCTTCCAACCCTCACTCATCCATCCATCCATCCATCCTCCAACCCACACTCCTTATCTATCTGTCCATCTATCCATCCATCCATCTCCATCCATCATCCATTTATCCATCCATCCATCCATCCATCCATCAATCATACACTAATGACCCCTACAACATGCCAGGCACCCAATCCAGCAGGAACCCAACAGCCAGTCTCTGCCCTCATGGAACTTGCCATTCAGTGGGGACAGACCATTCACAGGTAATGACAGCAGGGCACAGGGAGCTAAGAGCACACCCAGTAGGGCACAACTTTACTGTCAGGAGGGGCCTCCAGGCAGAAGATACTCCAGCAGAGGAGCCTGGAGGGATGCCTTGGGTGTGGCTGTGCCCTATCCTCTCCCTTGTGTTGAAGGGCCTTGGCACACCTATCTGCTGAGAAATTTTCCTGGAGCCTGTTCCCATTAGGAGACTGTGGGAACGGGGCCCTGGGATCAGAGGGTGGCTCTGTCCCAAATGGCTACTGGGACCCTGATTGGGCACCGACTTCCCCCAAGGGAGATGTGTGTACTGGGCTCAATCTGACTGGTTCCCGGCAAACTGTGTTTTAAATTTAGGGACTCCTTCGAGCAAACAAACAGACAAAAATCCTCCTGAGCAGAATTCTCAGCAGAAGGGGCCAAAAGTTGGTTCTGCTTTCAAAGTTGCTTTGGTTTAGCAACAATCTTTTTCTAGAAGAGGAGTTCCTGAAAGTGTTGAAAGGTGGCCATGCAGAATCCGGACAACAAACAAGAACTGGTCCATTCTCTCACACCCCCACCAAGGATGGTGAAGGAGGGAGAAGGTGTCTGGAGAGCCTTCAGTGTTGGGGTTTGTCAGAATGCTCTCAGGACATCTGGCTGAACATCAGTTCAGGATGTTTTCTTAGACCAGGTCCATTTTTTAAAGACAGATTTCATAAGGAGGTTGGGAAATATACCATCAGTGACATAACATTCTTAGTTTTAAAAATATACCTACATACAGAAGTATATGCAAGTGGACTTTCATCTGAATAGTGAATTCATTCAGCTAACATTTATGGGGCAATTCCTGTGTGCCAGCACTGTCCTAGGCACTGGGGACCCAGAAGGGTCCTCAAAGAGCATATGGTCAAGTGCACCACATCCAATAGAAATCTAATGTGAGCCACATATGCAATTCTTAAAGTTTCTAGTCACCAAAGAAAAAAACAGAAAGGAAATTTTAGAATATATTTTACTGAACCCAGTATATCCAAGACAGTATCATTTCAGTATGTAATCAATAGAAAAAATGATGAATGAAAAATTTTACATTCTTTTTTTTTTTTTGGTCTTAAATCTTAGAAATCCAGTGTGTGTTTTACACCTGCAGCTCAATTGAAAGAGCCATATTTCAAGTGCTCAGTAGCCATGTGTGGCTGGTGGCTGCCCTATTGGATAGTACAGGTCTAGGGAATAGCAAGTGTTGGGTGTCTGAAAATCTGTGTGTGTGGAAACTCTGAGAAGCAGAAAATGTCACGCTGTTATTTCCAGATCCAGTGAGCTCTGCACGCTCCCTCAGGCTGGGCTGGGCCAAGGCTGCCGTGCAGAGGAGCCGCTGGTAGCAAGAAGGATGGGTTTCCCTCTTTCCATCCATTTCCCACTATTCTAAGATTTGGACACAGAACAGCCCTGTGAATAGGGACTGTCATCACCCCCATTTTATCAATAAGGAAAGGGAGGTACAGAGAGGTTAAGTGACTTGCCCAAGGTCCCCAAGCCAACAAGGGGTG